GATGTACCGAATTCACTTTGCCCTCGATCCCATTCTCTTCGTGGGCCTCAATGCCAGATACCGCCAGATGGTGTTTAAGTGCTGGTCCTCGTGTCTTTCTGGACGAGAGGTCGTCAGTGCCACCCGCGAGCAGGACCTCGAGTACAGACAGGGCGAGGAGCACCCACAAGTCGAGAGCAAGTGCTAGAAAAACGTCCAGACGAGGGAATATAAATGTTTTTCAGCCATTTTTTCTGGTCATGATTTTACCCTGATTTGACAGTTCATAATATATATTATATATATATATATATATATATATATATATATATAATATATATATATATATATGTTAAACCAATTTTATATATCTATTTATATGATTTCCCATTCTCTGGCACTAGTGTATTCACGCCTTTCACTGGAATAAGACGTTGATTAGCCATGAACATTTTCCTCTCCTGTATTGTCTTTGTCTTCTAGATACTTCTAGATATTAATAATACGTGGTCATTGTAGACGAACCAGATTGATAATAGATAAAGATATAAATATACCAATAACAACGGCAGTTACATAAGGTAAGAAAGTGTATTGCACTAGCATGTTTGTATTGTTTCTTACGACAACATATGCCTAACCTAACAAATGATTTAGGTGTGGCTAAACATGTACTAAGTTATATATAAAGTGTACATTAGTCTACGCTTCAGTTTAGTTAAAATATCAATATTTTTGAAAACTATACAACAAAGAATCGTAGCCGGGAAGCAATTTCTTAAAATTACTTTTATTTGAACGTGACTGAATATTAATTAAGTTTGTATTTATTAACAGTAATTGTTTGTATTTATTAAAACTTCTTGTATTTAGACATGACTGAATATGTGACTGAAAGTGCTTAAGTTTGAAGATAATTACAGTACAAGAGCCCAAGAGAAGAACCCAGTAGATGAAAAAAAGGAGCTAAACAGATTGATATTCAATAATAGTATAATTTCAGTAGACTCGAAGTTAAGTGGAATTCCAAGTTGTGTTCTTTACCTTCATTAACTCCTCTCTAAGAGAACGTGTTGTATTTTACGAAAGGCTGACTGAATTGTAAGAATACAAATATATGTAAATTTAATCTCACTGTCATACTGTGATTTTGTAATTCCAAAGATGAAAGAAATGTTTTAGTCGTTCCTATTGGATAATATGATTGAATTAGCAATGAAATCATATATTTTTTATTTACCAGTGGAAACAAGACACTTTCGCCACTTAGCAAAATTGTGGGTGCATTTTACCCCCAAATTTCCGGATCGACTTTACAAAGGCCTCTAGTACTAATACTGTATTACTTTTCACTACTTGTATACCATGCCTTCCATAAAAGATATTACTCTAAAGGTATTTCACATTTACACCTCATTATTTCTTAGTTTCTGATAATCCCTGACTCATATCAGGTGCAGCAATACCATCAGAGCTGCATCCAACTTGATGCCTAAGATAACCGAAAACAGCCATGGCATTTAACGGGCCCCCTTGCCTCTAAATATTAGTTTAATGGGTACTTGTCAGGTCAGAGCAACTGACTGGGATACAACATTTTTTCTAGCCTAGTAACGACAGGAATAACGAAATTTGCGTTTTGATTTCTAGAGAGCAGGCCCGGGATTGTCTAATTTATGTTAAAGAAATGGAGGAGGTCTTGTCCATGAGAAGAGCAGATGGCAAGATGTTATACCATGGGCGTTGTGGACCGGGTCGCGGATGGCATGTCATGACACCCCGCGCTGCCGGCTCATCGGACGGAACTCGTCGGTCTACAATAGCAGCGACATCAATCACTTCGTGTCGCTATTAGACACAGGCACTTAAAGTGAGAAAAAAAACTCTTTCTCCTGTTTAGCCCGTGACCTGTGGCTCCATAGACCAATTTCGTCCGCGATCTGTGGCTGTATGGACCTATTTCGTCCGTATCCTGTGGCTGCTCACAAAAAACCGGGGAGCGACACCAAGAATTGCTTTTACTGAAGGCTTGAGGGAAGCGCAACACATAAGAATAGGAGGACTGGATATGTCGATCAGGTGTTGCTAAGGGGATGAGTGGCCAACCCGTTATATATATATATATATATATATATATATATATATATATATATATATATATATACGCAAGACAAAGAAGACTGAGGCTGTGATGATCCTATTGTCATAAATGGCATTTTTTTGGTAACATTTACGAAAAAATAGCCTCTTTGTCATCTACAATATAAAAAAAACTAGATCACTGAAATACTTTGGCCGTATAGCTGACATGCTCCTCTGAAAAAGTGCAAACACCTAGATGAAAACAGATACGAAGTGAGAGAGGCAAAAAGAACTAAGTAAATTTGCAATACATGTCCTGTAGCATTTTCCTTGTGCAATGATCCTGAAAACTATGGCGGTGTACATGGTTACTGTTATTTAATTTTTTTCCCTCTTGTTTTATAATCATTACGGAAAATCCCTAACGAACTCTATTTTTTACTTTAACGTACTTGAGCCTTTATGTCAGAGAGCTTGCATAAGTTTTTATGCCCCTGCTAAAGCAACAAATCACGCGCAAACAACTCTGAATATAAAAAAGCTTGTGCCTTCTCGCGCCGAAGACTCCATCGTGTGTTCAGTAAGTGATAATAAACTGACCTACACATACTGAACTACATATTTAACATGACTTTCAGGTTTGGGTTCTGATAACTAACATATTAAGTCAACAAAGATTATATTTCATACTTCTAACAACACATTTATTGGTACAAACGGGCATGAATTTACAAATAAGAGGGGGTGATAATAATATTCAATGAAAACCGGAAATATGAGAAAATTAAGATTTGAGAATATTTCTGGAGATTTCAGGACTTCAGTTAGCACATTTCATATCAAATTATAATAAAAACGGTTTCCGGTGATACCAAATGTCTGTATATACAATATAAGAAAAAAATATCTGTATTTAGATGCAAAATAAACCTTTGACTTTGATGTGCCATTCGCTTATGATAAAGTCTTGAGCCAATTAGAATTCTCTCTCTCTCTCTCTCTCTCTCTCTCTCTCTTCTCCTCTCTCTCTCTCTCTCTCTCTCTCTCTCTCTCTCTCTCTCTCTCTCTCTCTCTCCTCTCTCTCTCTCTCTCTCTCTCTCTCTCTCTCTCTCTCTCTCTCTCTCTCTTCTCTCTCTCTCTCTCTCTCTCTCTCTCTCTCTCTCTCTCTCCTCTCTTGCCCTCTTCAATCTCTCGTCCCCGCCATCTTGCACACTAGATTTGAAAGCACAGACACTAAGTTCCATTAATTGAGCAGCCTACCCTGCAACTCTCCGTCTCTCTCGTCGTCTCTCTCTCTCTCTCTCTCTCTCTCTCTCTCTCTCTCTCTCTCTCTCTCTCTCTCTCTCTCTCTCTCTCTCTCTCTCTCTCTCTCTCTCGTCTCTCTCTGGTCAATCTCCTTCCTTGCACACAGGGGTAGATTTGAAAGCCAAATAAAAACAGACACTATGTCACAGCAAAGAATCCATCAACAAAAGTAATCTAAATCTAAAATCTCAATCTCTCTCTCTCTTCTCTCTCTCTCTCTCTCTCTCTCTCTCTCTCTCTCTCCTCTCTCTCTCTCTCTCTCTCTCTCTCTCTCTCTCTCTCTCTCTCTCTCTCTCCCTCTCTCTCTCTCCCTCTATCCCTCTCTCTCTCTCTTTCTCTCTCTCCATCCCATCTCTTTCTCTCTTCTCTCCTCCTCTCTCTCTCTCTCTCTCTTCTCTCTCTCTCTCTCTCTCTCTCTCTCTCTCTTCTCTCTCTCTCTCTCTCTCTCTCTCTCTCTCTCTCTCTCTCTTCTCTCTCTCTCTCTCTCTCTTCTCTCTCCTCTCCTCTCTCCTTCTCTCTCTCTCTCTCTCTTTCCCCTCCTCCTCCCCTCTCTCTCTCTCTCTCTTTCTCTCTCTCTCTCTCTCTCTCTCTCTCTCTCTCTCTCTCTCTCTCTCTCTCTCTCTCTCTCTCTCTCTCTCTCTCTCTCTCTCTCTCTCTCTCTCTCTCTCTCTCTCTCTCTCTCTCTCTCTCTCTCTCTCTCTCTCTCTCTCTCTCTCTCTCTCTCTCTCTCTCTCTCTCTCTCTCTCTCTCTCTCTCTCTCTCCTCTCTCTCTCTCTCTCTCTCTCTCTCTCTCTCTCTCTCTCTCTCTCTCTCTCTCTCTCTCTCTCTCCCACACACACACAAGATACAAGATAAATATTGAACACAAATGACCAAAAGAAAATTTTAATGCTATCCTTATCAGAAATATCAAAATTTGAACTATTGCATCTCAACAAACCTTATCATCTATTCTATAACATAACACGAAGTCTTTTGGGTATAATAGATTCACATAATGTCTCTATGAAGCCTCAATTTACATCAACTTGGTGATAACATATATATAGGAAGCAGAATCAGAAAATGTATAGGAAACATTATTTTTGTTTATAATCTGTCGACTGTCTCTCGATACTGACTTTGACTTTAGCTTCTTATTAATAGGTTTAATACAGGTAAAGCTACTAACATGTTCATATTTATTTCTAAATATTCACAGTAAATGAACACATATTATATACATATAATAGAAATTTATGTGATAGGTGTACTATGAATGAAATAGGATAAAACAAAATAGTATCGCATTCAGACGCATTGTAACGTTGTAGATGGCAGCACAAGTATAAACGTTTATTTAGGAATCTTGTCTGAATTTTTGACCGGGTGCAATAATTATCCCCGAATATCTCAACCAACACCATGGCGTAAGTATTCTTGTGCATATTTTACTGTTGATGATGAAGAAGAAAAGTGAAAAGGGTGGTTACTTACGGCGGATAAGAGTTGTATAAGGCAGTAGAGAGGGAGAGAGCAATGGGATGGAAGCGGCGGCGGGATGGCATTATCTAAGACGAATTCTCGGTGTGCGGTTATTTCCTCGGGAATTTGAGAGAGATCGTGTTGAGATCTCATAGAAATTTAGTAGCAAA